CATCAGCGGCTGCCGTGTTTGGAAGACACTGCTCTCTCATTCACATGATACCAGCCCCACATCAGCGGCTGCCGTGTGTAGAGGACTCCGCTCTCTCACTCATTCAGGGCGATATGCAGCCCCCGCTTCAGTGCGGCGACAAGCGCTTCAGTCGCTTACCCACTCACCAGCAGTAAAGCGGCAAGGAGTCACCTGATGCCCCTGCTTGGAAAAGCGCGCGAAGGCAAGGAGTCACCTGATGCGACTGTGCGGAAAAGCGCGCGAAGGCGAGGAGTCACCTGATGCCCAGGCGCGAGATCGAGGTCTTCTTTGGTGCACGGCTCATCGCAGTGCAGGGACACCAGGCCCGCGACCGCTGCTGCCAGGAGCCGGATGTTCAGAGAAAAGTGTAAAGGGACCCGGGAAGAGGCACCAAAAAAAAAGAAAAACAAAAAACGGCAAGCGGAGGAACCCGCACCGTGACTCCCGCCCGCCGTCAGCTGCCAAGCCGTCGTCCTGACAGCCCGGAGAGGAGGGAAGAGTAGCCTACGCGATCGGCCCAGCCCCCAAGCTGTCTCAAAATTGTTCAAATTTGTGTTTGATGTGTGTGTGGGATCATTAAAAAAATGCATACATGTGCCCAAAAGAGCTCTTTCCTCCTCATCACTCAGTCAATGTAGCGCCGCTCGCCCCGCCTCAGAGCGGTGCAGAGCCGCTGCTCACACATGTTATAGCCGCGCAGCACTATTCTGGGAATCTGGTGCTGGTTACTTGGTGTGATAGAGCGTGGGTACGCCCTAGAATTTAGACGCAGACCACCCTGTTTCAACGGCGTGGTGAAGTCTCTAACATTGCCTCGAAATGCCCTGGTTCTGAGACAAGAGGTATGCAACCTGCTCGAAAAAGGAGCGGTAGAACGAGTCCCTCCGAGCGAGCTGGAGAGCGGGTTTTACAAACGCCATTTTATGGTGCCCAAGAGAGATGCAGGACTCCGCCCGATTCTAGATCGCAGGCCCATCAACAGAGCGCTCTGCAAGCGTGCGTTCAGGATGATAAAACAGATCCTGGTGCGAATTCGCCCCGGGTACTGGTTGCATCCATGAATTTAAAGGACGCGTACTTTCACATTCAGATAGCAGCGCATCACAGACGCTTTCTGAGATTTGCTTTCGAGGCACAGCGTACCAGTACTCTGTTCTCCCGTTTGGGCTGGCTTTAGCCCCGTGCATTTTTTCGAAGTGCATGGACGCAGCTCTCACTCCCCTCAGAGCGAGTGGGATGCGCGTTCTCAATTATTTGGATGACTGGCTGATCTTAGCTCAGTCACGGGACACACTATAGACAGCCATATAGACAAACTGTTTCGTCACTTGGAGTTCTTGGGGCTATGTGTGAATGTGCGTGAGAGCAGTCTCGTCCCGAGTCAGTCTATAACGTATCTGAGAGTGTACTTCGACTTGGTGGAGATGCGCGCTCGCCTCTCTCAGGAGCGCTCGGCAGCCATTTTGTCTTCCCTGCACCATTTCAGACTGGGCAGCTCTGATCACTTGAAGTAATGTCAGAGGCTGCTGGGACTCATGGCAGCGGCATCAGTATGTCATCTGGGTTTACTACACATGCGCCCGCTGCAGTTATGGCTGAAATCTCGAGCCCCTTGGACGGCGTGGACTTCGGACCGTTTGCGCATCACGATCTCCCGCGGCTGCATCGAAGCCCTGAGGCCATGGCGCAAAGATCTCCTCAGCCGGGGGGTTCCGCTGGGCTTGATGATGTCACGTGTCGTGGTCACGACGGACGCGTCGACTCGCGGATGGGGAGCAGTGTGCGAGGGCATGCCGGCTTCAGGGCTGTGGGCAACCAAGGGGGCGTACGATCCAAGGCTCGGTCCAAGCAGGCAGCAAATCTCCTGCTTTGGAAGGACCGTCACTTTCTCTCCATCAGAGCAGCGCACATCCCCGGTCTCCTGAACCGTGGGGCAGAAATGCTTTTGAGGAAGGGGATTCCTCAAGGAGAGTAGAGGCTGCATCCCGAGTCGGTTCGGATGATTTAGACCCGCTACGGGAGAGCGGAGGTGGATCTGTTCGCCACGAGTGAGAATGCGCACTGCCCGCTGTTCTTCTCCCTGTCTCTCACTCCCGGCTGGGGGGACGCTCTGACATCGCACTGGCCAGCAGCCAGGCCGTATGCATTCCTCCGATCAAGATAATGCAGCTGGTGATATGCAAGATCAGGGAGGAGGAGGCTTTTGTGACACTCGTCGCTCCGAACTGGCCGAACCAACCTTGGTTCCCAGACCTGACAAAGCTGCTGGTGGCGCCACCCTGGCCGATCCCCATCAGGAAGGATCTGCTGTCTCAAACGAACGGCTCGGTGTGGCACCCCAACCCAGAGTTATTGAGCCCACTTAGGCCTGTCGCAATAATCAATATATTGATTTATCACGCAATATATGTACATGACCTCAATAATTTTTGGTGACGCAATATATCACCCATTATATTTACATCAAAATTAATGTCACCATGTTTTGTACATTCCACTTGCGCCTGTGTCTTTTGCAGCTTCTCAAACATAA